TCGAACAAACAGGCGCTACACGTTTTGAAAAACTAGTGACATGAATCATAATATCATTCTTGACTAACCTTTGTGATGATTCATAGCGTTGAGATTGCATTTTTATTTATGTCTTTCAAACGTTTGAGGCTAGAACGCGAGCAAATCAGGCAGATATTACTGGACTTGGAGCGATTGACCTCTGACACGAGTTTCAAATTAGAAAATATGTTTTTAAAGCGAGCGGAACGAGATTTTCGGGTCGCGAGGCGGCCCAGCTAGCGATAAAATCGCGATGAGTCTTCGAACCGCGAGCCAAATTTTTATATAAGACGAAAGACTTCTTCGAAAGTCTAAAATATTACTTGAGAATATAAACAACAAATCTCTGTCGGAGGTGCGGTCCGGAAGGAAATCTTGTCGAGTCAATTTGACAGTTCCATTGTCTTTTGAAGAAAAAACAGATGACGCTCGCGCGTGCGCATAATCGGGACACTGTCCCTTTAAATATTTCAATCTAAGTGACAATGAGCAAGTCAGGACTTGCCGGTTTATTTTCCCTCGAAAAAAAATTAAAATATGCCGAGATCATAATAGTACTTGCAGTGGCACTTTTATACAAAGTACAAAAATTATGCTCGTTTTTTTCCAAACTATGCAAAAAATTTGTGAGACTTAGTTCTCAATCACCAGTGACCATTTTCGTTGCAATTTAAGGATGAAAAAGGAGCCAAAGCTAACGTGAAAAAAACTTACGGCATTCTTGTTCATTGCAAGAAGCTGTCTTGTTTGTTGGTCCCAGTCCCAGTTCACTGCAGTTCTTTCCACCGTTGGATGGCGGGGGATTGGTGCAGGTTCTCTTAAATGTTCCTACTCCTCCACCACACGTCACACTACATTCATAAAGCCTCCATTCGGTGTAGTTACCGTTCACAGCTGTAAAAGACATACACAGAAAATTTGCCTCCATGAATATCCGTTGCATTGTGATTTATCGTTTCGAGGTCCGTGAGCAGGTTTTAAATTCAGTTTACTAACTTTACCTCTTCAGCGCACTGACAAAAAGATTGAAATCTGAAGTGGTACAGGTCATACCGGCAAAAGGTTCCGAAAAATATGGAAAGCCTCAGGCGTATTCCCTTTTTCTATCCCAGCAGGAATAGCTGGAAAATATTAGCCTGGGAGAAATAAAGCACTCCGTTTCGAGTGGCAAACAAATGCGCGATCAAGTGACTAAGATGAATGTCATGACCAGGAAGATGAAAATATATTTCTAAGATCTGCAAACATTACTGACAAGATGTATGTGACTTATTGTGTTATTTCTCCATTAAACAGGGACTACCATAGATTGATTCTTGGCCACGTGGTCTTGCTTAAATTCAAATGAATCTCGATTGTGATACAAAGAATGATGGGAAGTGGCGTGACAGTAGGTGGGTAACATTGCCAATTTTCGCTTTCGTGGTTACCTGGCAACACAAATTTAGTCTCTATCTAAAAAAACAGAAACGATTTTCGAAGTTACCCAAGAAGAGAATTACAGTAGTTTCAGGAGGAAAAGCCTCAGATAATACAAGGAAAGTATTTTGTAAATCATTCATTTAGCGGATTCGAAAATTAATTTAATATTTGAGCTTTTTTAAGTAGCAACATTTTTTTAGATTCGCGCTTTATTCTTTGTCCCTGTTGAAGTGAAAGTCTGATCTACGAATATAACAAAACACTTAATGTCAGGCTCCACGGGAAACCAGTTAGTTTTGTTTTCCGTCGACTTCGTCTCTGGAAACACCAATCTAACTCGGTTTCCGTTGGGTCTTGCCATAAAGTGTATAATGTTGATAGAGGTTTAGTTCTTATTATATTCCTCGATTTAGCTCTTTCCTGGTCACTAAAATCATAACCATGAAAAAAAAAAAAACAAGAGACTTACGGCATCCTTGTTCATTGCATAAGGCTGTTTTGTTTGCAGGTCCCAGTTCACTGCAGTTTTTTCCAGCGTTGGCTGGTAGGGGATTGGTGCAGGTTCTTGTAAAAGTCCTTACACCTCCTCCACACGTCACACTGCATTTAGAAATCGTCCAGTTGGTGTACCCGCCGTTCACAGCTGTAAAAGAGATAAAACGTTTGTTTAAAATTTGCACTTACAAAAATAAGCCCCTCGTTCAATTCGTAACAAAAGGAAGACTTCCTGTCATAACGATGGAAAAGACTCATCTGGGCAGGGTGGTAATGCGATGAAAGAGATTTTTTAATTCTTTCATTCTTCACTTATTAAGGGGGTATATTTCTAATTCAGTGGATTTAAACCGGAAAAGCACGGCCATGGGTTTCCCCATTTTAGATTTCTATAATTATTGAACGTAAGTGTATGGACGTTAAACTAACGTATAATCTTAACACTGTCAATGACTGTAGCCATGATGTTTATATTTGCGGTTTGCAATGTATATTCCATTTAACTTACAGTCAAACCTAACGGGCACCTCTCCACAACGGCTACTTTTTTGGCGGACAGTCCATTCAATGACCGTTCTTTTAACCTCTGAGCCTGTTCCAGGTGTTCGGATAATGGAGTGCGGCGCGAAGAAAGAGAGCGAGAAAAACATCCCTCGCTCTCACCTCTACCCCACCCCCTCGTTGTTGTTGTTTTTTTTCTGCTCAGATATCTTTGCGCTGTCCCCACGATCTGAACGCCTGGAACAGGCTATAAACCTCTCTACAACGGTCATTTTTTCCCCTTCCCTTCTGTCTTCCTGCTCTTCTGTTCTGGTGGCCTTTGTCGAGAGGTTCAACTGTAATAGATGCTGTGTTTGAAGTCAATGCCCCAATATTGCAATATTTCATGGAAAATTGCTGAGGCAATTATAAACCCAGCTGATTTTGAAATGTATATATCCCTGCTACAATAAGCCCTTGTATAAGGCACACTGGTCAAAAAAATTGAGGTGTGCCTTCTGCTTCTCGCCGGCCTCGAAAGTGAGGAGTGATATCTGGCAGAGGTTTTGTGCCATGTTTTAAGGTAGTGTGAACATTTAATCGGCCGTCGCGGAAGTAAATAAGTAGGAGCGAGGACAGGAACCCACTGAGACGGAAGTAAATACTCAGGAGTTGAGAAATGGAATTTAGTGCACCAAACCCTCCCGGCTAACATCGGCGGCACGATGTTCGATGTGTGTGAACGACGTGTGCCTCCCCCCCGCCCGGGCCGTTGCTGTTCATACTACACGAGATACCTTTTCGTGACGCCAAGAAAAGCTATAGCTGAACATACCCTTATCTCGTGATGACCGAGAGTGAGGTCAAACGAACCAGCTTAGTCTGTTCAATAACGTGTTAACGAGAAAAAAGTGGGAAATCCCAAGGGGCGAGATAGGCCAAATTTGCTCGCGAAGCTACGTAGCATATCAGTTAAAACCACCTACGACACAAAGCAGCTAACACGTCGTCAAAATGTTTGGTCAGGGCTGAAAAATCCTGGTACATAAGCACTTGTCCCTTGTTGCCAGCCATTTCTTTCATCTTTAGTTTGTTTTCTTTAGCCTTCCAATTTTTGCCGAGTATTCCAACGACAGTGATGCTAACATCTTCATCCTGCGAAACGAACAAAACTCAAGGATTAAACTTGCAGCTATAGGCAAACCAAACATCAAGACTAACTTGATAATAAAGTTTTTGGATAGAGAGGAGGGGATGAGAGAGATGTTGACAAGAAGTGTTTTTCAAAGGCTTTTATTGTATGGCTACACTAGTACGCACGCTATGATAAGCCGCTAAGCGAACATTATTTTCTTGGTCATGATCGAGCATTACTAGCTAGGTGTCCAGGACATATACAATCTGTGCTTAACTTGATAGTGGACACCCTTATAGACATGACATCCATGTGATGGTCACTTGACAGCTGTCAAAAAGGGCATCCGCTGACCAGTGTCACATGACTGTATTGCGGGCTCAAGTGTACAACTAATTGAGGTAAAGTGTCTTTTGAAGTTATCCGCTGATCAGTTATTGGCTTCAATTGATCGCAGGCTAAGGTTCATACTGAAAAGACCATTTAATAAATAACTTATTAACCTCTTCCGTTTGGTCATTACAGTGAAATCTCAAACCTCGCCCTCGGTCTGAGATTTTCCTGTAATGACCTCACTCTCGGTTAATAAGTAGTATTTTAATGAGAGACGTACAACACCCCTTAAGAATCTTTGGTTTTGATCTGGGTTGACATCTGAGTCTTGGGTTGGTTTCGCTCTCGTATTCAATTCTTGCTCTCTCTCTCTAGGATTCTATACTAATCAATTTTTTTGGAAAAAGCACAATCCTAAACGGAAATAGGAGCCAAAGAAACACTTTAGAAACAACATTTGGAGTACAACCAAAATAGCGCAACAACTAACAATGCACGAAAAAATTGATTTACACCAAATGTACTCAACTGATGCAACTTTAGTGCAAAAAAATGCAAACTACAGTGAAATTAAGGGCAAAGATGGTAAATACCGCATTTGCCCTCGAATTTACAACCGCAATTAAACTGGCTTGAAACTGCTGCAGTATTTACCATCTTTGCCTTTGATTTCCCTCTAGTTTGCATTTTTTGCACCATATTTGCCCCGAGTAAATTTGTGTAAATCCAATTTTTTGTGCAGTGTAACTTGAACAACAGTGGCCCACGGTGCCAAAAACCATTGCAGTCATGCAGTAGACTAGAAATCTTATAAAGACCGTTTGTTCGTCTATAAAGTTCCGATATGGTAGGGTTAGCTTTGCCAGGAAAATTCCCAAATAATAGCCCAACTGAAATGGCCGCCTCAATAATTATGTGTTCGGAGAGGTTTTGTTTATGACTTAAAAGACTTACCTCCAGTGTTTTTGTGCTCTCTGAAAAGTTTTGGAAGGGTAAAATAGTTTGATCTTGTTTTAACATAAATTGTTTTCCGTCAGTTAAGACAAGCAGAACATTTTTTGCATCTGGTCTGTCTCCACCATCGCTAGTGAATAGCTCTGTTGCTGCCTTGTGTAGAGCAATATCTGATCGAGTTCCCCACTGATTCCTACCAGGAACTAGAAGGACTTTCTTCTTCACTAGCAGTTTAAACGCAGCCTGTTTATTGTAGTACAGCTGCGTTGCAAAATTGTGGTGGATTTTGACTTTACGATCGAACGTAATAAAACCATAGTGGTTTCCTCCATCGGAGAGAGGGTAATTGTCTATCAACTTGCTAGCCAATACGTACAGGGTCGTTCTTTCCTTTTTCCTCATGCTTAGTGAAGTGTCAGTCAGAAGAGCTATATCCAACTTCTCAGTACAGTTACCTAAATTGAAAGAACACGTGTGTACGTTGAAAAACAAAACGATTTTTTAAAAATGTGGCTACCTAACATCAGCAGTCACACGGGAGCGAGCTTTTTTAAGAAAAGAAAAAAAATGAATAAGTATTCGCAACAAAAACGTGCTAAACAACGATAATAATTGTTCATTAGCTTTCATTGTGCGGTCGCCAGTAACTCGTTTCACACTTTACATAAATATCTCTTTAAAACTGCAGATTCCAGCGCTCGTCAGTTATCTGGCGCTCAAAGGAAAGCACTTTTCTTTACTGATTCTTGTAACAGGCCATCAATGCTATTTTCATTACTGTCAATATCATGGGAAGTAAACAATAAGATTGGGCTCTGCAAAATACAGGATGCCCAGATAATGTCAGCGAAATTATAACAATGCAAAATTAATTATGAAACGGGCAAATTGAGCGATGCACAGCACTTGACTAAGAGAAAGCGTGGTACTACAAATTTGAAACTAAGCCACTCATTGGGGGAGCTTGAAGCTTTGGTGTCTTCCACATGGCCAGCGGTAGAGTACTTCATGTACAACATATTTTCGGTTTATAATAGTCTTCATTTTATTGAGTACCTTCCGAACGCTGTCTATTGACTTAACACAAAAAAGGCAAGTTCATCATGAACCGGATCTTTGGTGCAAAAAGAAAGCACACCAAAGCCAAGTATCCTCTCATGCAGACGTTCTTAAGGGGTTCGTCACGTCATCACAGGTAAGAAATGCTTGGCGAAGTCCGAAGAACGTCTGAACATCCCTGTGTCTCTCAAAAATCAACTGGTTTGTACGATTACATTGTTGGAGCCCAAGATAGAATAGTGAGCTTATAAATATTTTGAACTTTTGAGGCAAAACAGTTTCAGAACTATATGTTAAATAACAAGGTGGGGGAAATTCTCCAGATCAGCTAACCTAAGATACGACGATGGACACGTGGACAAATATGACAGAGTACCTTGGTTTTTTTTATACTATTTGTGTGGTAAGCTCATTAGTAATCACATATGCATGAGAAAATGTCTTATCATGTGAATATGGTTTTACTTACCTTGTACCTGACCAAAATCTGAAAGAAAACAACCAGACCCTATTGTCAGAGTTACTGTGGCAAAGATGATAGAAATATAAAAGTCCCATACAAGATAACTTAAAGAGGCAACTAGGGCTCAAAAACTACAAGGTCTCGTAACGATCGGTAAATTTAAACTTTGGCTGGAAGAATGAAATAGGAAATCAATAAGATGGATATGGATTCTTTCGTCCTTACTGAAAACCGTTTACAACCTGTTCTTTCTAGCATTATTTTATTGTTTTTGAGCAGTACAGTGGAACATCGCCTAACTACCTACACGTTCAACAATCATCTTGTTCTTAATACTACATTCTTTCGACTCAAACGTACGTGACACTATCTATCGTTAATACAACCACGTTTTACAGTTTCTCGGCGGTTCTTTACACAGACAATTGAATCCTGAACTGCGAATGAAAATACCTTGGCGAGTTCTTTCTTCCGGGATTAATGAAATGTTTGGGTAGTCATACATAACTATGAGAATAAGCCACTTGTCCGTATAATAACTAGGGGAAAAGATGCTTCTACGTATGCTGATTTCCAAGCTCAGTAAAGAGGTAGACATACTTACGTAAAGACAAGCCCAAAATGATCACAGCCAAAATCCACAAAGTATTCATTGCATCTGCAACTGGAAAATGAGATACAAACAAAGTCCTTTTTGAAAAAGGAAATTTTTCTTGGCTGAAAAAAGCCTCCTTTTGATAAAAATGCAACAACAGAACAAACATCAATTTATGGATATGAAAAACGTTTACAATTATCTGACGTTTCCCACAGCGGAGCTATTCTAGGTGGGTAGCAATACAGAAATAATTAGGGCTAGCTCAAAAAACAAACAAAAGAAATGGGAAACAAGGAAACTCTATTAAAAATAATGGAAGTAAAGTGCAGTTTATGACGGTTGTTAAGTGATAGTAATGGCTCTCAGAGGGGTTGGTTCGGTCACCAAAGCTGTCCGTGTAAATGCTGGACAACGCCTTCTTGCAACGGGAAAAGTTAACTCCCGGGCGGAATATGAGGGCATTCAGCTGAAACGATTTTCACAATGCTCAACATGTTCAAATGGTCCGCCCGTAGTGGTAAAAGGCAGATTTCTCTTTGCAAAAACAAGTTTGTTCCACTCTTATCAGGTAACCCTGTTTAAAAGAGGCCATATCATTCGACAGATCCATATCGGTCAACATTGGAGTAAAACTAGAAGGAATTGTAAAATAAAGAAATTTTTGTTTGCTGCCCAATGAAGACTCTCGCTTTGCAGTCTTCTCTAATACCACCACTTGGTATGGGAGCTTAAAGTTTTTGAGCGATAACTTGGTAGTAAGTTACTCCCCCTTTTTCTCGAACGCAAATAAAATAAACAACAAATGGTATGTGACTGTGCGAAAATCGGGTGTGTATATTTCGAGTTTTTCTGGCGTCCGAAAAAACGCATTTGTTTTGCAAGAAAAAAAAATTAAAAAAGGATAGTCTGCCATCTTTTATTTAAAACAGCTTGGATTTTCAAATTGGCCCCTCTGGCAAGAAGAGTATAGACAAAAAGAGAAATGTTTATTACAGAATTGATAATAAACATCTTGGGATTTTCCGTGACGCTGAAACAACGTGCACATTGAGCCTTAAAAATCGTGTCCGCTATATACCCCCATACTCCGCCCGGGAGATAACATTCCCCTCTTGCAACACACAAGCTCTGCCATTGAAGTTATGTGTCGCACATCCTAGACTTGCAGTCCCTGATAATGTTTAAACCGGCAGCTGAGTATCAGCGCCTTTAAAAAATAGCAATCGGTGCCAAGGGAAGGTAAAAGGGGTCGGGCTCCATTCTAATCACCTCATACTTTCCAAGAATTAGTAGCTATAATAAATGCGGTACAATAAAAAACGACTTGCCAGAACCCTGACGATTTGTTCATCAGTGGGTCGACGGGGCTATGATGCTATGATAACTACAAATCCGAAAGGAAGCCTATATTCCGATTCCGAAGACGTTGGTTGACCCAAAAACGAAAGTTAAGGTTGGATGCTGAAATGCAAGAACAATGTTTCCAGCTGGTAAGACAGCTCAAACAACAACTGAGATGTATCGTTATTGTTTTGGTATTTTTGGGAGTTCTGATGTGAAAGCCGGTGGCCAGGATTTGGACGACTGAAGACACCATCTTCTACTCGGGCACGGAAGACAATGTACAAAAAAACACATTGAAAACACCACCGTTTTCAAACTTAGTAAAATTTATAGATTAGAGTATAAATGCATCTCAACCTCTTTCTTTCTATACGGCTAGGGAAATAAGTAACTTTTCATTCACAGCGCAATGTTCCTATCATAAGAGTCTTGGTTAACCCTCTTTTAGTGATGATATTGCCGAAGCAAATTGATTATATGAATTCTACTATCTTAGTGCGAAATTAAAGGGATGGTCTTGATAAAGTTTACTGTAATTGGTCGCTTGGCATAAGTTTATTGCTCAACATTAGAACTAACCTGGATGGTGTTGATCATCCACGCTCCTCAGAGTTCAAAATTATTTTAGTAAATGTGATCGGAGACTAAAAGAGTTTGTTGCTGGGCGAAGAGATGTTCTTGGTCAAACACGGTTTATGATTCGACAGCTAGTTAGTTTGTCATTGACTACTTACAACTTCCGTAAACTGAGACGTCATAATACAAAAGAATACAATTAGCACGCCTCAAAGAAAGAAAGTTTTAAATTAGCCAGGGTCAAAAATTTATTGGAAAAGGTTCGATGGAGGTTACAGCAGTTAAAACTATTTGAATTAGATAAGGCGTAAAAAGACTGTATCCTCTGTCACATCATAAAGTTTTCATGAGCAATACTTTCAATTAGACAATCATGAAAAAGAATCCATTGGATAGTTTACAAGTACTAATAAGTGACACATTTGGTGCCTGAAATGACAAATAATGTCAAGGGTAGACAGTCTTGGCAAGTGGCCTCCCATAAAATATCAATACAACTTAATGAGAAAGTCCATAATGACAAAGCGAAGAGCCTGGCGAATTAAATAAATCATGGTGATTGCAAAATGGCGAAGTCAGACGGGATTAGATGAGTGGCCATGTTTGTTTGAAGTAAGAGCCATAATATCTCTTGTTTGAACTGGTTAAAATTCTGCCAATTCTAAAGCGCTTGTTCATCCATGATATCAGTTTTATCTTGGGATTTTTTCGGGCCATTTTCCATTTCTTTAACATCCTTACTTATTATTAAGGAATGGCTTTTACTAATGGGAAATGAATTTCGTTATTGTTCTATTCAACTTTTAGTTCCCACTGAGGCCTGTTTAAAATCCGGAAAGAGTTATCCAAGTAGGCGGGTTATTCTTGCACCCCCACATTTCAGACATTTATTTTTGCTTCAGAAAGCGACGTATTTACAAGGTTATTGGGGTTACCCCGGAGCTTGAGAAACCCTACCAGCTATGTTAATACTCGACTGTTGTTTGAAATAAAAAAAATAAAGAAATAAAGAAAAATAAAATGAAAAGCCATGCTCAATTCATTTTCCATAATTTGATCATTTATAATGAAGAGTTCAATTCAAAATAATTGATAGTTAAAAGAATTCTCCTTGCTACTAATTGGGAGGTACTAAGTGAGCCAAAGTGAGTCATCGTGTTATTCATTTCACTGAAAGACGGATTAAATGACTTTCGCAATTTTGTAGTAGAAATGGCTTTTTACAACGTAAACATTTTTAAGGGAAGAAAATCCAATGTCAAGGTTGTAGTCAAGATGTCCCACTCTTAAGAGTTCTATTTTGTTTGTGGTCACGGAAGGAGAAATCAGTTCTCAGCTCCTTCACAGTCCACGTCTTTAAGAATTCAATAAATTTATAACGATAACTGATTTGTAGTATAAAAAAGGTGTAAAGAGGGGTGCAGTCTTTATAATCTCGCTCGTGCGTGATGCACGAAAGGCACGCTTTTAGGTAGTGGTATATTGGTTATTTACCTTGCTTTTTTCTTAGCAGTAAATATTTGAAAAGCTCCAGAACGGTACTGTAAAAATTCCCACAACCACTTAATTTTTCAATTTGGTTAGGTTCAAAATTTTTGACAATTGAATTGGTCACTATCAATCTCTCTCTATAAATCATAGCTCATGCTTCACTTATATGTTACTCGTCATGTGGTTTAAATACCTTTGCCTAATTAGTTTTGTACAGAAATATTTCCTTGAATTTTTTTTTAATATGTTAAATGTTATATCCAGCTTTCAAATATTCACTTTAAGCCTTGTTTTGGAAATAAACACTGAATTTGCATTGTAGAATAAAAGAAACTCTAGTGATTCGAGATTTAAAACCTGCTTTAAATGAAAATGTTGGCAAAGAAAAACTTTTTCTCTACTTCTTGTTTCTCAAAGATATTCTGGGAACCAGGATTTACCAGTTTTGTCAAGAATACCCTGTTTAACCAGACTAATTTTTCTCAGTTGGTTCAAGCCTGGTTAAACCCTTATTAATTCAGTTCTTCAAGAGCCAGGTTTAACCCGGTTTTTCTGGTTATTGAATGAGAAACCAGGCTAACCAGTGAAACCCTGGTATACCAGGATAACCTGGTTTATTGACCATTACTTTAAGAGCCTGGTAAAGCCTGGTTTACCAGTCTTGCCAAGCTAACCAGGAAAACCCTGGTTAACCAGGCTTTTTGCACATATGGTTCAAGCCTGGTAAGCGTGGTTCATTCAGAATTTCACGAGCCTGGTTTAAGTCTGGTTGTTCTGGTTCTTAGAATAGCCAGGCTTACCAGACTTACCAGGAATACCCTGGTTAACCAGGCTTTTTGCACATATGGTAAAGTCTGGTAAGCCTGGTTCATTTAAAACTTTAGTTAAAGTCTTGTTTTCCTGGTTCTTAGGATAAACAGGCTTACCAGGCTTACCAGGAATACCCTGGTTAACCAGGCTTTTTACACATATGGTAAAATCTGGTAAGCCCGGTTTGAAAGCCAGATAAGTCTGGTTGGTTCAGCCAGGCTTGAACCCTGGTAAACCATTGTTTAACCAGGCTTTTGGCGCAAGGGTAAGCATCGTATATTATAATTTCCGATGCAGACTTCAAATAGCGTCACTGTCATCATCATTTTTGTCATTAGTTATTGCTTTTACCTCTCTATCAGGTTCCAGTCTTTTCCTAGATCTTTAAATTTTACTGTAATCTTTTTAACCATCACTTCTGAAGATGTATGTTGTTACATATTACGAAACGTCAAGTCTTTAATAGTCTAACCATTTCTGCATGTATATCGGTTTCGCGCGTTGTGATTGGTTGAGCTCAAAACCAAAACAAAATAAACTTGGTCGAAGAATAAACGAAGAACACTGGAATCGAAATGAGTAGAGATTTGACATTTATTTTGATGGCAGCCATTTGCCGAAAGTATACAAGGCTTGACCTTTCCTCACTCTGAAAGATTGAAGCCGATTCTTTCCACTACAAATTCATCGTTTTAACGTCTCGGTCTTCCACCCCCGGCAGGGTCGTAACATGGTATATCGGGGACCCATTTATTCCTATTTTCTTGCCCTAATTTTGACCCCCGAGTCCCATTTTCCCCAAATTTAGATCCCTGTGCTCTGATGAAAAAATTGATCCCAGTTATGCTTTTACACAAAATTTCAACTCAAAAAAACTTTGTTTATCCCCAGACATGGAATAGAGAATATGCTCAAGTGAGCTGATGAGAAAAACATTAACTTTTTAGATCAAGTTGTAAGTTGTATCAGAGCTTTAAAGATAAATATAAGTCAACCTCTTTTTGCGCATTTATTTTATTCAAAGTACTTTAAATATAATGTTTGGCGATACTAGATAGACAAATGTTAAAACGCGATTTTCTTAAACGGGAGCTTTAGTAAGATACATAATGTTAGTTATTGTTAATTCGTACCTTAAAGTAGTCAACCCCCCTTTAAGTATCGCACGTCTTGAAAGATCTTGCGGCGGAAACTTGACTTTTTCATATGCTACGTTCATAAAGAGTATTTAAAACGTTTATTTTCAGACAGTTGCTTATACGAGTAAGGCCACCCGGAGGTTTATAAGCCAATCACAAGAAACCATAAGATCCAAAATTCGAACTGATATTAAATACATTTTTTGCTAAACAGCAATCACAGCTGGTTGGTACCCGGTTGAAAAACGTACAGCACTGTAAACTACTTCTGAACTAACGTCTTACTCTAGCTTTCCACTTCCTGTCCAGTAGGAATATCTGCTTGCCCTCCGGGATAAATTGTCCAGTTAATATTAATGTCGTATCTGTGTGGGTCAGAGATGTTTTATTTCCAAAGAGACTCTTGCAAACAAAGATTTCACGTCGGTTGATTATGAATCTCACGCAGCTGACCTGCCTTTTGACAGATCTTCTTTTTCCTCCTTCTGGCTGACAGGCTTTACTGGTCTACATACAGTAATGTGATATTAATAAAGTGTAATCGTTTGCCTCACGATGTAGTCACTTAGTGATGTAGATCGCGACGTTTCAACTGCGTACTGCCAGTGTTCATAAGGAATTGCAACACTAAAAGACCTTGCCTTGCTGGTCTTTGTCGACTCGTTAACTTATATGACTCCAAGCTCGGTTCTGATTCTGGTCGATTCTTAGATGCTGAGATTAGTACATTTCTCACTTCGTTGTTTGTATGAGCTGTTGCCTCTGACTGGTCCGCTGTCGTACGGATCTGACTTCTGCTGCTGTGTTTCTTGATTAAGGGAAACCAAGCTTCTGGAATTTCTATTCTGCTATCCCCGTTGATGTTGTTAGGGTCTAGTCTTATGTATATTTCTTCTTTCACTATGCTTGTGTTACAGTGTGCATCACGATCAATTACCAATAGCAAACCTCTTGCTTTACATGAGGTCAAAAATTAAGTGATGCAAGCCACTGGTTCTACAGATTAACAGCTTTTTCTGCATCAAGCCCACTATTAGCTTTTCCTGGCTTAATAACTACATTGTCAGAGGACATATCTGGTTGTAAGACTTCCAGACCTACTCTTCCAGCTTTGAATCTAATTCAGAAAAGTTGTCCACCTAAGTTTTGTCCCCTTCCTCTCCGTCACCACCTGACTCAGATGAATCATCTGATTCAACTGACCCCTGGAGCAATGAAACTAGTCGTTGCTCTTCAAGGCGGCTCAAACGGAAGTTGTATCCATCTTTTATTATCTGCACATTCCCGCACGATACCCTGTCTCAGGTGAATTTCTATCATCACGGTGCCCAATCTGGTATACAAGGGGATCTTCTAGTTCTGACTGTTCCAGCCATCTCAAACCCATACGATCTTCCAAGAATGCGTCACCGTTACGGTGGAGATCTTTTCAAAGAACTACAAGGAAGAGAGGAATGATACTGTTACTTCTTGTAGTTGTGCTTGAGAGCAACTACGTCGCCTTCTGAATAGATGTTAATCCTCATATTACTTGACGGCGCCGTTTTTCCTTCACTCCCTTGAACCTCTTTCAGTAGATCGACATCTGTGCCGACACATTCCTTCTGAACATACTGATAGCAAGTGGACGTGTACCAGCTCTTTGGTCTTCTCTCTTGTTCTTTGCTGTCGTATACCTCGCCCTGCAATGTCCTAATTCTGACGCAAAGCTCTGCAATGTCTTCCTTTGAATTGTCGCTCCTTTTCCTCCGCGCTCGTAAAATTTTTAGTGATTTCCTAAACTACTTTAAGTGACATTTCGTCACGGGCCATACGACTTATTTCTATTCCACGAACCAATTCTATGCTCTATTTTTTTTTGTGATAGCGATTCAGAAAAAAAGATGATATTCATTAATGCTCCAAAAGATGTCTCACCTACAAACGTAGTAAAATTCAATATCATCATCAGTAATTCTGCCCTTAACGTTTGTGCAGCGTTAATGAACCATACGTTACATCGTCATTTTTTTTTCCAGTTTAATGCCTGATATTTTCATTCTCGTTAAACTTGTCAGGTAATTCCATTTTTTTAATTATTTTTATTGATAACTTCATGTATTTGTTTCCACCAATACATTATGTTACCGTTGTGCCCTTGAAACATATTATTACATTTTTGATATGTTAGCAGCATTCTCGATTTATTAACTTCTCTTGGTTCTTTAATAAAATTCTTATATCATCGTTTTTTTCTCCAAGAACACGTACTTGTTATTAAGTGTTTTCTTCCTACCTATATATCACCAACGGTGTATTAAGAAGACTACACGAATGACCATTTTTAAACTAATAACCTTTACTGTGATTGAAATTTGTGAATACTGCATCCCCTCAAGGACTGCAAGTAGCTCGATGCATATACCAAAAATATAAGATAGCCCCTTAAAAAATCCTTCGGTATCTTCACTTCCGGTGGTACCAATTTTGATCCTCTTAACTTTGCATATAGTAATCAAAGTTCAACTGCTCCACCACAAAGTGAAAACGGTCTTTTATAAAAATAAACATTGGCAGTCACACAGATAACTTAACGAACTTGCATTTTTCAGTTCTAAGTATTAAAGGAATCCCTCTAATTTTAGATTTCTTGTGCACTTTAAACTGATTAATATTTCCCGGCTTAAATTCACGTTAACTATTTCCAAAATCATGACATGCTCAATTAGGATGTGGAGGCAAATTGGTAAAGAAGGTATTTCGACACGGAGGATCTTACTATAGTTTGTTTTGCCATGTCGTCTCTCGCCCCCTGGCCTAACTATTTTAATCAATAGAGAGCTTTAGATTTAACGACGAGGACGACATTTAATTTTTAGTTTTCTCGCATATTGTCTAAAAATAGACACCCCGGAAAGCTTCATTGTTCTTTTTTTCACCACAAAAGTTAGTACGCTTATTTCCGTTGATGGAGGTAAAGCCCTCTCCCGATCCCTAAATGATAAAATTCCTAACATTTGATTACTTGTTTTTGTTGTAGAATGACGACGGCTATCACGTCTTCCAGCCAAAATGACGTTGGTTCGCGCGCGTGTTACTGCTTAGTATTAGAAAAATCTCGATCTCGTAGTCGTCCTCGTCTAAGAATCTAAAGCTCTCTAATATTTGAGTTACTGCTAACCTGGCAAAGTTGATCAGCCGGGCTCCGACCCTCATCTGCTGAGTCCAATATGTTTGGCGAACGAGATCATTCACAGTTACAAATACATCTTAAGATGATTTGACAGGTAGTCAGCCATTGGCTACTGAAGACTTCTCGTAAACTGACATGTAAAAGATGTTTCCATAGCCACGGGAATTTTGAAGATGAGCACTCCTCAATTTGAAGGAGTTCCGCCGAATTAGCCAGTGTTAGAAAATTTATGGAAAAAAAATACTTGAGACCGTTGATATAAACTGTTAAACTCGTTTAGACGCTAAACACGAAGAACAAAGTGAACAGCATTAGAAAACGATTGTTTCCTATCCTATCACGTCCATCGCGACAAATAACAATAATGAATAGATTAGTTAATTGTACTTTTATCGTCACTTTTTATTTATTGTCACTAAAAGAATTGTCCTTCGCACATTTCAAGTGTCTTGAATTAATAGATAACACTTTTGGTAAAATGAAAAATAACAGCAGCGTTATTCGAACTGAGCAATTGGCCTTCCGAAAAATTAATACAACTTAAAAAAAGACAAGGTATCATAAAGCGAAATTAATAATTCATGGCGATTGCAATTTAGCGTTGCTAGGTTGGGGGTAAGAGAGATGGTAATACGTTTTGAAAGTTGTTCAAATTAAATTCTGTCGATTCTAAAACGTTGCTGCCATCAGAGATGTTCTATTGTTCTATTCAGTGAAAATACGTGGACATTTCGCTCGTTACTAAGGGTCGACTTTTATTACTGAAAGGGTTTTCTTTGTTAAATCATTTAATTTTTATGCGCCAAGGGTCTGTTTACAACAAGAGACGGTTATCCAATCAACACGGTTGCCTTGGAACTACAATTGCTTCTTCTAATTCTATAAGCCGTGTTTAAAAGGAAGTTAGGTTACCCTGGCGCTAGCAGCCATTCGTGCCTACACTCGCCTTCCAAGAACATCTTTTTAATTATTTTGGGGAGCTTTTTATAGTCATGTTACGTCATATGTCGGATTCAGATTTACTTCATTTTTTTAAAATCTTAGCAAGATTCGATTAGAAACTTCTGTGAGTGTTCAAAGACACTTTTCTGAAGCTTAAAAGGGCCTTTTTATGTGCTGTGAGCCAGGCTGGTTAGCTGGGCCTGGCTACTTCGGCACATGTCTTGAGTCTCGGCGCGAACAACCGGGATCTTGGCAAGCCGGGCCAGCTCGATTTTTCATTGGCAATTTTAAGACAAAAATAAGGCATGAGCCGAGCCAGGCGGTAAAAGCGCCAGTCCGGTTAACTGGCTTGGCTCCCTTCATATAGGCAGGCCCTTACACTGTACTCAAATCAAATACCAGTATCTTAGGAAAATTTAATACATCCAATTCACATTATGATCTGTCTATGAGAGCGATTATTTGTCCGTCGACCCGTGACTTTACAAGTATGTTCCAGCGACTTGTTAGTCAGAGTTTGTTCACATCAAATCAGTAGTCAAATGTTTATGGGTTAATTATATATCTTTGGAGGGGCAGTGATTAAGTTTGGCTGAGAAGAATGTGCCTAAAATTTCTTTCGTGACCTGAGAGGATTAATTAAACTGTGATAAATTTTAATTCCTATATTTTGGAAAACGGGGCTTTCTTAACACATCTCTCAATATGATTATATAAAGGGCATGAAGCTTCTCGCAAAATTAGATACATTGGTTAGTCGAAGTGCAGAAACGAGAAGTCCAAAGACTACTGCAAAGGCTGATAACGTGTGTTGCTTTTTTTAGAACCGTTTCGGCTGGCCATACCTGTCCAGCCTTCTTCAGGTTTACAAATGTTACTGAATTTATGACAGGAATTAAAATATTATATAGATGGAGAATGTCCCAATAAATATAATTGTTTAAAAGGGAGAGGCACGTAAATGACGTACAACATAAAAAAAGAAAAGAAAAACATAGAAAAATAAAGAAGATTTGCACTTATTTCCGTTGATTTACTAAAGTAAAATTTCTTATCATTCATTCAAAATATTGTTCTGTTTATGATTGGCTAAAATTCTCCGGTTAATTCTCCCTAACCAACCAAGTTTGAACAAACTTAGATGACGTTTGGGATATTTGGAAAAAGACATCAATAGTACAGGCTAATGGCCAGAAAAAGAACTAGAAAAAGAGACAGCAACCGATATGCCCTGGGTGCGAGGTATCGTTCGGTAAAGCAGTACTTAATGGCGGAAATTTCACACGTTTTTGCAAAGAAGAAATAGCGGAACTACTGCCCAAGGATTTAGCAAGAAAAACGAGTATAGAACTAGACGGACAACATCTGCTATTTAGGGAATAACTACAGAACTTTAAAATATCCGTCTATCTGAGCTTGCCAAGAAAGAGGCAAATCAAGACGGGGACATTTAAAACATCCATCTAGGAAAACAGGTTTTAGCTTTTTTTCAAACTAAAAGAATTTTTAGAATTATTATTATTTCAGAATATAGGACAAGCAATGAGTTTAGTTCGAAAACAGGACAAAAAAATGTACTCAGGTTCAATAGAACCCATGAATAAATCCGCGTTTTATCCATTTGGAATGTCAGATTGCAGTCGTAAAACTGGTTAACTTTAACCCCCAAGTTTGTAACCTCATTAGAATAGTCACCGATATTTATACGACACGAATATAGCCGGGCGGGCCGCGCTACGCATAGCCCTTTGTGAACCTTGAAAGATCGTCCAATAATTTTATGAAGGACTGTTTGTGGTGATCATTTGTTTGGTTGAAGGCGAATCGCTACCGAAATAATTTAAGATTGGAAGAGGGTTGAGCAGGTGGTCTTCGCTTAGGCAAACTTATATGTATATCCAGCTATGGTCATTTGCAGGCCTTAGCTATGAAAGAACACGGACAAGAGGAAACCCACAGTCAATTTGCCAGCTTGAGATTTTGTAACTCCTGCATTCTCACATAAAGAAATTTTTGAGGTAAAAGTATACCTGAATTTTTAAAAACGGGATTGAAACAGGTATCTTAAAACCACTTTTATAAAAAAACAAACTTTACCTTCTAAATACCCGATAAGGTAATTTGATTTCGCTGCCCACTATTAAATAATTAATCATTTCTACATTTTGCTATTGCTTTTATACCAAATTGAGTGTAAGACTATCTATTTTTTCACTTCAATTTTCGTCCTCAATTCTGCGCTGTTCCACGGGTACATCTAACGCGACCCCGTAAGGTTTGAGAGTTTGGACGCCATCTCAGTTAAACGGACTGGCAGGCATGGCCTGGATCTCATTTGACGATTTCTTCTTAGCTTGGAACGGTATGTGTTTTCTGGTAGCCCCCTACCCTTGCACCAAAAGTCTGCTTAAAAGCCTGGTGAGCCTGGTAAACCCTGGTTGAACCAGACTTACTAGGCTTTTGACAATTATCAACTAAAATTGAAAGCGTGGTTGAGCCTGGTTTTACCAGGCTTTCAAGGTAACCCTGGTTCAGTAATTTACCATGAAAGTCTGGTAACTCAGGTCTCTACTTAAAAATCCTAACCAGAACTGCTTGGTTAGTCTGGTATTACTAGGCTTTCCTGATAGGCCTAGTTGAAATTTTCCACCTTAAAAGCCTGGTAAGCCTGGTTTAACCAAGGTTTTCTGGTAAATCTGGTTTAAAATTTCCACAAAATCTTGGTAAGCCTGGTTTAACCAGAGTTTCCTGGTAGGCCTGGTTAAAATCCCCTACCTCAGAAGCATGGTAAGCCTGGTTTAACCAGGATTTCCTGGTAGGCCTGGTAAAAATCTCCCACTTCAAAAGCATGGTAAGCCTGGTTCTCCCAAACCTTTTTCTAGTAGTCTGGTTTAATTTAAACCTTAAAAGCTTGGTAAGCCTGGTTGACAATAATAAATCATTGAATATGTAAACAAAAGACAAAATGATAACGAGGTTTTTTCCTGATTTTCGTGATAAAGTTAAAAATATCATATCAAGAAGCAAGAGCTGGGCTGAAAAGTACATGCTACATGTTTGAAGGTACAGTAATAATGTTTCAATAAAGAGGCATCTTCATAGGCCAACAATAAAATTTTATTGAAAAAAAGGCAACTAAAAATCGGCAACAACAATGAGTGTACATCTTGAACATTAATGGTTTATGGTATTACCCTGAGTTTTCAATCCATTTAAGATGTAGAAATACAGTCATGTACTTGTTGTAAACATGCATTTAGGAGGCTAGCAAGACATTTATGAAAAAATACATACATATAATGCAGAGCATGCGCGGAGTCGGAGTGGACGGACGTGTTTTCTAAGCAGCGCGAAATTCGACTCCCCAAATCCAGAATCTCGTTGGGTTCTTGTCTTTTTTTTGCTCTTGTTTTTACTGTTAAATTGCTTGCTTTGTTTCAACGTCCATAATGTCGGCAAATTCGAGGAAAAACAAACGAGGTGACCGGGGTTCTAGCTCAGGTTCTGCTGAAATTTCCGCCAAGAAGCCAAACATGAAGGAAACCGAGGAAGAAGATATATTCGGCGACGAGGACTCCTCTGAAGAAGAACCAACTCTGCTGGAAATTAAACTGATGCTGTCATCTATACAGTCCTTAATTACGAGCATCTCGAGTGAAAACGTCAAATTTAGAGAAGACATGGAGGAGCTAAAGAAGTCGCTGAGATCCAATGAACGTGAACTCAAGGAGCTTAAAGCGTCTCTCGATAAGGCTAACAAGCAAAATGCTCTACTTCAGAAAGAACTACTTGGGACTAAAACATAACTAAACGAGCAGACGGAAAGGATCGACTCGTTGATTGAATCGCTTGATAACCTCGCGCAATATTCGAGAAAAAATTCCCTCGAAATACATGCATGGTATCCCGGAAAATATTTACACCTCAACGGAAGAAGTTGTTCTCAAGGTAGCTGAGGCTGTTAATGTCCCTGTTGCTGCGGAGGACATCGAAATCTCTCACAAGCTAAGACAACGAAATGGTATGAAGCCTATAATTGTAAAATTTTGTAGCCATAAAGTTAAGTCTCGGCTATATAAAGAGCGAACGAAATTGAAGTCAGTAAAGATATCAGATTTATCTCCCAGTTATGCCTCAGCAGCAACAAAGCAAAACCGTATATTTATCAACGAAAACCTCACACCTTATAGGGCAGACTTAGTAAGACAAGCGAATGATATGAAGGCTGATGGACTTTTATCAAGTGTTTGGACACTAGACGGAAAGGTCTTTGTTAAAACTTCACCATCAGGTAATCCTGTTAGAATTTACTCTGAAGATGATCTTGATGAATTATAAATGCTTAACAAACAGGCATGCAATAATTACGGGAGGTCGATTTCGCCATGGGCTTAGATTGTACGAAGGTTAGTCTCTTAAGCGTATTTTTCTTAAAAAACTTTTGTTCTTTATTAGTTCTTGTTGTAAAGTTAGGTTTTTTTTTTTGCTTTTTCTTATTAATCTATTCTGTTGCTTTTTCTTTGTTTGTTTTCTTTTTCTTGATTAATTCGTTGCTGTTGAGTTTAGTTAACGTAACCTTATATTAGCATAACTATTGTGCATTTAAGTTTAGGTGTAAGATTTTAGGTGATAATACAGTATGATACTTATCAAATTCCTATCTACGAAGTCTCTTGGGCTACAGAATGGGGTGGGAGAGTATTTTTCTCACACGGTACAGAACACTCTAAAGGTACTTGCACATTACAGAGACCAAATTCTTTGTTTTCATCTAGCGTCCAGCTTATTAATCCAGATGGTAGACTAGTCATTGTTAAAATTAGGGAAGGCGATGAGGATCTTTTTTTAGCCTCTGTGTACGCTCCTTGTGACCCTCAAAGCCAATGTTGTTTTATTCAGAATTTATGTACTGTTATTGTTTCTAACACAAACACGTCCAAAGTTATTATTGTTGGTGACTGGAATACTACTCTTCACTCAATAGATAAATACGGAGGACGCCCATGGTTTGGGACGAACTATAGAAACCTTCTTCTTCATTTTATGGATGAACTAGGTCTTGTTGACGCCTATCGTGCCTTACATCCTAAACGAAAGGTGTTTACTTATGAATCAAAACCTCTTAAGCTTAAATCAAGAATTGACCTTTTCATTATTTCACAGTCATTAAAGCCAAACATAAGGAAGGCTGAAATTCGATCTTCAATTGCTCCAGATCATAAAGCCATCTTTCTGAGTTTAGAAATTAATGATGCGTACCAACGAGGTCCAGGTACATGGAAATTCAATAATACTTTATTGGAGGATGATAATTACACCGAAATAATCACGGAATGTGTTCCGAGAGTTTTAGTTAAGTATCAAGAAGTTGAGAGTCTTCAACTCTTATGGGAACTTATTAAGATGGAAATTCGTACTGAAACAATAACGTATTCAAAAGCTAAACGTAAGGAATCGAAAAATAGGGAGACTTATCTTCAGGAGAAGCTTGATGCTCTGGACAACCAATTGTGTCATGGAGGTGACTATTTCAACCAAGTATTGTTAGATGAGTAAGACTGAACTTAAGGATATGTACGAAAAAAGAGGTAAGGAAGCTATGTTTCGCTCAAAAGCCCGTTGGATTGAAAAAGGAGAGAAACCAACCAGATATTTTTTCAATTTGGAAAAGCGCAACTTCGAGAAGAAGACTATAGCTCAACTGAAACTCGTGAACGGCGAAATTGTTTCGGACATGAAGCAAATAAATAAGGAAATAGAGTCCTTTTATAGTGATCTTCTTGAAACAAAATTATCTGACTCTCATCTCACGGACTTCGGGGAGAACTTTAACACCTTTGTGGAAAACTTAGTCATTCCTAAATTGTCTGTAGAACAATCAATGGCTCTTGAAGTCGAACTTACACTTGATGAGATTAAAGAGGTTTTGAAATCTTTTCAAAATAATAAATCCCCTGGTGAAGACGGCTTCTCAAAGGAATTTTATGAAAATTTTTTTGACTTAATCGGCATGCATCTCCTTAATTCATACAATGAAGCCTTTACTAAAGGTCAATTGTCAATATCTCAAAGACGCGGTATGATCTGTTTAATACCTAAAGACGACTGTTGTCTCATTGAGCTGTCTAATTGGCGTCCACTAACTCTACTTAATGTTGATTATAAAATCTTGGCAAAAGTTATTGGTCAAAGAATTGAGTCAACCTTATCTTCGCTCATACATACTGATCAAACAGGCTTTGTTAAAGGTAGATTCATTGGCCAAAATGTTCGGCTTTTGAATGACATCATAGAATACGCAGATGCTAAAAAACTCCCAGGTATCCTTCTATTCATTGATTTTCGAAAGGCTTTTGACACTATTGAGTGGAATTTTATTCACAAGTGTATTGAACTATACAACTTCCGCCCAAATATCAGGAAATGGATATCCATTCTTTACAACAATGTTGAAAGTGGCGTGCTGAATGCTGGATTTATGACCAACTATTTCCAAGTTTCTCGTGGCGTCCGTCAAGGGTGCCCTCTGAGCCCTCTATTGTTTGTTCTATCAGTTGAATTGTTAGCCCTCAAAATACGCCAAGATCAACTCTGCAGGGGCATTCCCCTTCCGGATGGACAAAATGCCAAGATTTCACAGTTCGCGGATGATACAACGCTAATTCTTGAAGATACCATATCTCTTAGAAAGGCTATGAATATAGTTAATTCTTTTGGAGCACTGTCTGGGTTGCAATTAAATAAAAAGAAAACTAAAGCCATGTGGATTGGTTCGTCAAGCAAAAACAAGTCAATGCCTTTAGAATTCGAGTGCCCAAAAGAACCTATTAAATTTTTGGGTACCTTCCTCTCCCACGACGCAGTTAGCAATAATAAAAATAATTTCTTTATTAAAATAAGGAAAATGGAAACCAAGCTTAATATATGGTTGTCGCGTGATCTGACTCTTTTTGGAAGAACAATGCTTGCAAAATCTCTAGGTTTGTCTCAACTAGTTTACGCTGCTTCAATGCTCTCTGTCCCAGAAGCAGCGATTCAACAGACTCAGAGGAAACTATTTGCGTTTTTGTGGAAGAATAAGACCGATAAGGTAAAGAGACAGGTTTTGTTCCGTCCCTTATCTAAGGGCGGTTTAAATTTTCCTTGTTTTCGGACTGTCATTAAAGCGCTACGCCTCTGTTGGATAGGGAGACTCCAAAGTAATCCACATGACACTTGGACAGCAATTCCCAACTTTCACTTTGAAAAACATGGTGGACTCTTGTTTCTACTTAAGTGCAATTACAGTGTCGAAAAGTTAGATAAGAAAATTCCCCTATTTTATAGGGAACTACTTGAATACTTTCAAGAATTGCGTAGCAGCTGCGAAGATCCACTACAGCGCGAATTTATATTATGGAATAATAAAGATATCAACGTTGAAAACAAATCGGTGTTTTGGAAGTCTTGGCGTGATAAAAATGTCTTGTTTGTGCAAGATCTGCTGAACAATCAAGGTAATTATCTATCCCCACAAGAATTCAGTAATAAATATAACATCAAGGTTAATTTTCTGCAATACTACCAAATCATTACAGCCATTCCAGCGTCTCTCAAAAGTTACGCCTTCACTCATTTAGATCTTGGAAAACTGAACTCGGTTTCTGAAAATGTCGACTTCCAGATATCTAAAGATGTTAGTTTAAACTTAAAGAAAACTTCGTGCAAGCAGTTTAACAAATTGTTTACAGAGAACATTAGTATTGAACCTACTGCGGTTACAACATGGCGAAAACATTGTACTGTGGTCGCTGACAAGTGGGAGCAATGCATTGAAAACAATTATAAAATCACTCGAGATAATAAGCTAAGACAATTTATTTTAAATTGTTACACAGAATACTAGTTACTAACAAGGAACTGACACGCTTTGGGATAACTGATTGTACTATGTGTGTTATGTGTGGCGAAAACGATTCTATAGAACATACTTTCTTTGAATGTCGCTCTTTTCTGAAATTATGTGACGAATCCCTTCAGTGGTTCAACATATCTCACAAAACCAATATTAAACTCACGCCGCTTCAAGTTTTTCTCAATTTACCAACCCCAGCTTTCAATCTTTCCAATAAACAAACCAAGGATTTGTGTCTTCTTCTGTTATATGTAAAGCAGTACCACTATGGATGTAAATCATTGCAAAAGAAAACAGACATCTCTGAATTTATATCTAAATTTATTATGCAGCTTGAAATAGAAGTTTGACATGATAGTACCACCCTCCTCTCAGCTTTATATGTATATTAATGTAATACATTAGCTTTAATATGTGTAATCGATAGAAGTATTTTAATGGCATGATACAGGGACATTTATCTAAGTGCACAATTGTAAGTATTGTAACGTACTTTTGTTTAATAAATAAAATTAAAAAAAAGAAAAAAAAAAAGAAAAAAATATAATGCAGTGTTGAAGGTTTAAGGTGATTCCCTGGTTTTGCACTGCTCATCTCTTACTGCGCATAACAAAATGGCCGCCGTAAAAAAACAGCATTTAAAGTAACATTATTAAAATTAAGTTGACTGAAGAGAAACGCTTTTGGAATTTTTGCTTGCGGTTGTTTCTTAGCGAGGTGACACTCAATGTGTTGGGAATGTGCATAACGTAAGCAGTACGCGTGTTGCTGAATTCGACTTCCTCACGGAGAACCTCGATAGTGGATGTTAAACTTGTGCTTACTCACTTTGATTTTCACTTAAACGCTTTCTTTATCACATTGTGTCCTAAATGTGATATCTCGTTGTAAATTCTGTAAAAATGGATTTTTTAATACTTTCCTCCCCCTTTCACATACATTCTATGTTGCAACTCGCCCCAGTCCTCTCTCAAAAATCGGAGAAAACGCATTTGGTGCTTTTTTCTGCGGCTCTACCGCAAAAACGAGTACGGTGACCCCCATCTTTTATTTCATGATTTTAATAAGGACAGTGCTTCCTTTCGATGAGAAAAAATTGGCACAAATCTATGTTCAGTTTTTTGGCAATTTTACTAAATTGTACGGATTGAGCTATCACGGGTCGAAGAGCGTGTGACCACTTTAATTCTACTTTGGAGCGTAAAGCAAAAACAAGAGCATTAAAAGGCATTTTTCTGGTACGTAAGTGGATAAACAATACATTAAAGTCAAATTCTGAGCGATACCACATGCATCATCGAAAAAAATCTCCCCTTTTTGTCTAGTTTTGGGCTGCCCGCGGTTTTGGTAAAAGGGTCCTAAATAACCCGTATTTGTCAGCATTGTGACGTCAAAACGAGCACAGTGACCCCCACTTTTTATTACTTTTTTATCATCTTCCTGACTTGTTACATCAGTGTACTAAGTTTCAACTACAATCTATGTTAGGTTCTTTTACTAAGAAATCACCTTAAGTACACTGTAAATCCAGTTTACAGGCTAAAATGTGTAAATTCTTAGCTGCATTTGTTGCCTCCCATGGCACTGCTTGAACTTGGTAGTAAATCTCCTTTCTATTTTTTGACTGAACCTGTCAAAGTATAATAATCAATCAACAACTGAAAATTTGCTCTAAGTTACAGTTTGTGCAAATAACATGAAGCTTCACTGTTTCAGTAAGACTGAGTGGAGTCCAAATCGGTCTGCAATCATACATGTACAGGTGTCCAACAAAATTAGACAACTGTGTACTGGGAGTCTGATTTGTTTAGTCACAAGTCTGTTAGACTAATTTATCATAGCTTTCACAAAGTTTGTGATGTTAAAAAAATTAAAAAAAACAACAACAAGATAATCAGACAGCCTTTGCTGGCAGTGAAAAAAAAATTCATTCAAGATGGGGCGCAACGCCATGTTGCATACTGTCCAATTACTTTAAGGCCTGACAAACAAACATAAACCAAATTAACCACACACTGATCTACATGTAAGAGAAAAAGGTCAACACATTTTGATTTACAATTGTATATATGAGCCAGTGCTTTGGTATAAATTGTGACTACACGCTGTTGATAAATTCATTGCTTGCTAATGTTTAAAAAAAATAAAAGGAAAATTGGAGAGTCAAATTTTGGTATCAATTATATATTGCAATAGACTAATGCCATGTTGAAAATACTGAATGTTGCGATCAATGTCTCTTTGAAACACACAGTCCACACATCTTCATTACCATGAGCCAAACCATTTTATA